AGTTGTTACTTAGAAAAAAACAAATAAATCTACTGAATTGGTGAGTAATGCTAGCAGTCTCACAGCATTCCAGTTAGAGTGGTAGATTTTTACAACATGGAAAAGAATGTTGTCTGTATGGATTTTTGGCATTTGGGGGCTTTTTGTAACTGATGGTTCTTGAAGAAATTATCTCATGGACATCATGCTATTTCAGAAACTTTAAGACTCACAAGCTTCTATAGATTGTCGAATGTTCTCCAAATCCAGTGACAGTTACTTAAATTCTTGATGTGAAGTTTTCTAAAGCAAAAAGGAGCTATAAATTTAGAGAATAAATTAGTGAACTTCTAGTCAAAAGGGTTGTACGAGTCAGTGTTATTTTTTTTAAATACAAGAACCTAGAAGAATAGTCTTGGACATTTTACAAGTAACTGTCACTTCTGGAAGACCTGCTGTGTATTTATGGTTTATCTGGCTTAAGATGGTACAAAAATGTTACGTTATTCTTAAAATGTGACACAACAAGAACTTCTGCAATTTGAAATGTACATGAAAGTATAGATGCATACATAGTAATGTAATAATAAAACAGATAGCTTAAGAAGTTGTATGTATGTAGCCAACTTCAGGTTTTAATTTTTGAGTTAACTTGAAAATACTTCCTCACGCAGGGAAGCTGAATTGCCAGTAGTAAGAGAGAAACGCAACTATCTCTGTGATCTCATGAACGTGCCCAGACCGCAGCTGGTATCCAAGGTAAAGTATGGAAATGTGCTCCTGAGGGTGTTTTTTTTTGAAGAAACATAGTAATGATCAATTATTCCACCAAATCTACTATATACTTCTCTGCAACAGAAGTTGGTTCATCAATGTATCAATGTGCACCAGGAGCAATGTCCTCACAGCTTACTACAGAATATATGGAATTGCTGAAGACTGTTGTCTTAAGCTCTTCCAGTCTTGCTTCTTGAAAACATTCCAGACTTGTAGTGTGACATCTTACTCAGACAAAACGCAAGAATGAAATAATAAAGTACAGATGTTTCAAAAACGGTTCATCTGCCCTTTCTGGGGAAAGAAGAAGGATAAAAACTTCCCAGTCAGTTTCAACAACGAAATTGTAACGTGGTTGTACAAGCCACAGAATTCTAACACTGCCTAAGAGGAAGAATATAATCTAAAAGTTAATACATTCATAAGATGACAGACAATATATCCATACGTAGGTCCCATTTCATTTTAATGCAGATAGTTTGGAATTGCCCATTTGCTCAGTATTTCAGAAATACAGAATTTTCTGCTTTGGTAAGAGTTTCTGAGAGGTTCCTTTCCTCTCTGTCCACAGATGAGGAGGATGAATTATTACTGTTTGAGTAATACAAGACGAGGTGAAAATACTTGATGCCCTAGTACCACAGGCATCCACAGCATGTAATCTAGTCCGTAAACTGATTAAACTTAAAAATAGTGGTATTTCAATTGATTCTTGGCCTTTGTAATCTTTATTGTTCTGCTTTCATAGTTCTAGAAAGTTTTGTCCTTTGTAATTATTTTAGAGTTCAGAAACATCACCCGTGCAGTCTTCTTTCTTAAGTTTTTTCCTAATAGAGTGGATCTTCGTTCCCTTCATTTTCTCATTAAAATATTTGGACACCATTAAGTTTATTTTCATGACTAGGATTATGCAAAGCATTATTTTGTTGCCCTGCAGAGTTCCATTTCAGAATTGCATTAGCCTTTTTCACAGCTGCAGCATCTGTGGCTGAAAGTCACCAAGTCTTTTTTCCTCCAGAACATCTAAAGGTGACCTTGGCTAATGGCACTCTTAAAGTGCTTGTTGAACTGGCTCTTTGTGATGCTACTTTATGTAAGTCTTTGAGGTCAGCCAGTTCTTCTGTGTAATATTCTGCTAATCCTTTACACTGAAGATGCTTCCTAATGTAAGTATATCCTATGTTTTGAGTTGTCAGAGAGAGAGAGAGAGAGAGATATACATATTTTTATAAAAAAAGTATATTTAAAAAATTGATCAGAAGACTAATATTTACAACACCTATGAATAACCTTCAAAGACACCCTGCTGTCCCCATAGCAGTTTTCTCTGCTCATCTTGTTCTTACCAAGACATGTCTACAGTTTTCTGCTTTTAGTACAATTTTAAGAAACCTGCAACTAACATTTTTGTAATTTTGGAAAACAAGAATCTGAACCTCTCGCCCATACAAGGCATGGGTTTTAGAGCAAAAGTTGACCTGAGCATTGCTGTTTCAAGATTTTCTAGTCAACTTATAGAAAAGTTATGTTCAAAATGAAGATGTTACAAGATGAATTCACTGATCTCAAAAAAACTTATTTCAACTCCTTAATTATTGGAGGCTGAGAGAAGCCTGACAAGTTAGGAGAAAACTGTCTCTGATATAAACAAAAGAATAAGAAATAGCCAAATATACATACAGGTATTTCGGATGGAACTGTTATAAATAGTATCATCTGAAATCTGGAAGTTATGTGGCTGAATGTGGAACTTCACCTTTTCATCCTCTTTTAACATAAGCAAACAGTTAGTGTAACTTTTAGCAAAAAGTTAAGCCTGCACCTGCCCTGAGAACTGGTGGAGTTCACTCTGAGAGCGATGCGATACTGAACTTGAAGGACTTTTCACGGCTGTCCAGATGTCCCTACTAGCAGCCAGTTTGTGCTCACACAAGAGCGCACAACACTCTGCTCTTCTTCAAGAGCTGACGTATCCTGAGAACAGAGGAGAAACAATGAGGAAGCCAAGCATAACATTATGAAAAGGTGAATGAAGTTAATTTCGTACAAAATCAACATTTATCATTCCTTTATAACTTGTACAAATAAAACTTGCTAAAGGGTAGTTAAAAATTAAGGTGTTAAAAAAGGACTGTAAATATTACAGCTTTGTACGTCTATATTTTCTCTCCATTTAGTGTACTTAATTACATGAGTGGGGTACTGTTAAAATAGTGATACATGCTCCTCCATGTGACCTCTTCTTTTTCTTTCTCTCTTGCAGAGTTCAGCATAATGAAGTTGCAGGCACTGGCTGCTGGTTTGTAACTGAAGCTCATGGTTCAGGTGCCCTTAGGACTGGAAGAGTTTGTGCTGCGGCATCCTGACAAACTGGATTCTCAGCATGAGCTGCAAAGTGCAGTGTTTAACAAAAGAAGAGGCAGAGATTACGTCTTAAAGCATTGTGCAGATATGCCATATGAAGGCAGCAAAGATTCATTACATTTTCAGTTCTTAAAGTCATTATCTGTAGCCACAAGATGGCGGTTTCTCTTCATACTTCTGTCACAACTGACCTGGGTTTTTTTTTTTTATGTCAATGATTTATACTTCTACAACTTTGAATGGAGCCATTCAGCCTGTGCTTGCTGTACACACATGAAGTATTAAAGCTGACTTGCTGCATTAGTCTCTTAAAAGAATTGTTTTTCAGAGTTAAGAATGGCAACGCCTAGTGATAATGAAATCTTCCTGAACATAAAATATCTCTGTGGATGTCTGTCATTCTTTTGTCATAGTCGAACAAAAATTCCAGGTTTCACTTCAGCTAAAGTCAAAGCCTCTCTTAATAGCTCTTTATATAACTAATTCAAGCAAATGTTTTTGTGGTAAACTAGCTTTAAGGACTGAAGCTTTATTTTTTTCCCCTTGAAGACTACAGAGGTGACTCAGTACTTCAAGCAACTGCTAGGAATTTAGACCATTTCTTATTGACTATAAAATGAAATGGCTGTAACATTTATCTTTAGTAAGACTAATGTGATGGGGAGGACAAATGCACAGGCAACATGATATTCTAATTACACTGTGTTACTTGATGGTTCTAATTAAATCCCAGTGTCCCAGCACTTCAACTAGAACAGTGGCAACAGTGGCAACACACACACACCCCCTCTGAAAATTTGAAAGGAAGGAAAAATTGAGGCAGCGGACCTAAAAACAAGCCAGTTTCTCTGTGAAGTACCTGCTACAAATGGCAGCAATCTTCTACTGCAGGTGTTCATTTCCAAAACTACAACCTGTCTCACTCTAAGAGTCTTTGTCCTTTTTAAGACGGTATCTATAAATTATATTATTCGATACTTCTTAAGTAAACTTGCAGCCTGGACTGGCAGATGAAATTTAATGTAGATCAGTGTTATTCACTGACTAACTATTAAACAAACAGTACTCGAGTCACATACTGTGCAGCAGACTGAGGTGGCCATGTGGCTGCACGCACCACAGGGGCTACTTACAGGCTTTACTGCAGAAGAAATAGTCCTGAACCCAGAGCCTGTGTTATTACACTGTCACTAAAATGGAATTTTCTAGTACATTCTCCAAAGGTCTTGGTTTTGTGAAGCTATACCTATAGGTCCCTGCTGCAAGAAAAACACGAGTTGTGGTGGCAAAGCCTGCTTATTGAAAAAAAAATGGAGAAGGTCCAGTGAAATCTGTGAGCATCTGTAGATAAGATCATCTGGCGGCCAGATGATGTTACAGACGGAGCCCCGACTCGGCGGGTGCCACACGTGGACCTCAGTACTGCGCCGCGCAGAGCTCCACCTCGGCAGCTGCTGCTCCCGGTGGCAGGAAGTGAGCCAGTCGCAGGGAAGGGCTGAGGGCCCCAAGCAGTGTTTGACAGAAACCTCCCTTTACACTTCCAGTGGTTATAGGCTTTGCTTGATGCATTTTTAAGGCTTCCCTATGGTAACAGTCCTCTTGTAATCTTATGGCCTGATTTGATGGTTATTTAAATTAGAAATACAATTTAACAATCAAACTGAGTTTGGTAAACAAGTGATGTGCAATGGTAAAATGAGCAAATAGCATTATCTGTGGTGTAACTAGGACCTCCCTTAGAAAGGGGTTACTCAGCACAAAGATTAATTTAATGAAGCACAAATTACCAAAAAATTCGAAACCTCTGAAGACTTCGGTCTTCCTACACACAGATACATAGAGGATAACACAGCTTCAGTATCACTGCCTTACCTTGGTTTTTAGTTGAAGTGATAATAATCCATCCCTTCCTTCAAGCTCAGCATGTTCAGGTTTGTTTCAAATGCTCCACCTGTCAAATCCTGTGAGGGAAGAAAAAGAGAATTAGATCGACCAGACAAACTCATTTCAGGTTGTAACAGGTTTTGGTAGTTTGGTTCTTTAGACCACAGAAGACAGTCCCATTTCCAGAACTAAACATAAATAAACCAAGGCTCAGAAATGTTTCCATTCAAAAATTAAGTGTATGTTGAACACTTAGTGTTCGAATTAATATGCCTGCGGGGGCGGGAGGAGTATGAGACAGCTCAGTCTCGTGCTGCCATGTAGAACACAAGGGCTGTGCTAAGCACAGCTCTGCAGATAGCTAGCTGCACATTTTGTTTTCTAATGCACTTTCTAAAGACATTTTCAGAGACTGGACCAAGGGAATGAGCTTGACAAAAGAGTGATTTTTGTAGATTTTGAACAACTTATTAGCTTGTCTGATGAAACAAATCTTTCATCAAGCAGCTGAAATATTTTGCATAATTAAAGGTGTTTGCTTTTGCGCCCTAGTTACGTTATCTAAACAGGAACCTCGTAGGTTTGCTCCGTGAGCAATCTTGCAAGGCAGTGATGTCATTAAGAAAACATGCCAACTTCAGCGTTTCTGAGCATTTCTGCTTTGGTCTTCCTGGAGTCCTTAATTCTACTGATCTTCAGGAATGACACACACACAAAAAAAGCTCACAATACTATAGGAGATAGGTAAAGAGATTGCTAGTGTTCTTTTGGTTCGCCCAGAGCAGCAATATTGAAGTTTTAACAATACACAACAGTACTGCAAGTGTTTAGGACAGGAATTTACAAAAACAGAGTTCAGCTGAAACTGTGGAATTAAAGGAGGTGGAATACTGCTGGTCTTTGGCTAGAATAACTGGATTTAAAAAATTGCTCTGGGATCTTTAATGAACCTTCAGAAACTAAGGTGTCTGTCTCACATGGGGCTTCTCAACTCGCCTTGGACCCATCAGCTGAACTGCTTATAAACATGCTGATAGTATTGGGGTGTTGCTTGGAAGCCTTCCATTCAAGGAACACGGCCATCTCCATCAACAGGGAATCTAATAACAAAACAAGCTGACCTGTCTCCTCCAAGCCTCTGCGTTGTTTCTGCTGCCTGAATTTATACAGGAAAGGAAACGCTGCATGTGTACGTTTCAAACCTCTTGCCCAAACCAGCATGCCGTGCCTCAAGGTCACAGATTAACTCCCCTTTCTCCTGTACGATTCTCATCTACCTGCCATGTTCTACTTTCACTAGCAATGCCAAAAAATACAAAGGTGACATAATCTGATCCAAAACTTTAACAAAAAACATAACCAGTCATAAAATTCATAATTGAGCTCTGATGTTTACTAACTGTAAAAAAATAAGAATAGCTAATGAATAATTTGGAGAAGGGCAGGAAAGGGCCCATGGCACTAGGCTTTTTAAGCAAGGGCTCCACTTACCTAAGGTAACCAATTTCTTACCTGAGCGATAAGGCCCTGATTGTGAAAGATATCGAGTACTTTTTTTGTTTTACTTCTTGAAATCAAGAATACTTGATGGTATTTAATACTTTGAAGGACTGGGTCCTGGTTTCGCAATTCAGTTAAGATCCCAGACTGTACTGGTCCATCTGCAAAACTTACTGCTCACATCAACAGGGAATTCTACTCAGAAATGTAGGCCTTGATTACAACCTTTAGCCTCTACTAATGATTTCATAAGCCCAAGATTTCCCAAGTTAGGACATAGGGTATGAAACAATTGTGTTTAGCTTGCTGAAAAATCAACCTGCTGTAAAGAAGGGTTAAAAAAACAAAACAAAAACAAAACAGTCCAGATGTTAAATTAAGCAGGAGAGTTAAAAACAAATCTTTCATTCCTGGAGAACAAGACTGAGGTGACAGAACAAGGCAGGGTTTTACGGTAACTGGTCTAACAGTAAATTTACTGAAAACTTTATACAATCAAACTAGTTTAATTACCGAGACAGAAAAATAGAAAATCCCTTTCATTTCAAGCACTTGGAATCCATGCCAAAACAGGGCACAATACATGATTTCTAAGCGTTTTGCTTTCACCTCAAAGCGAGAGAAAATACACAGTGCAAACCCTTGGGTGAAGTGGTACTGCAGGCTGCTACACAATTTTGACGAGCTAAAGCCACAATTTTATTCTCTTCAGCAAAAACTTACTCACACACACACAGAGTGAAATTTCAGCTACAGCCCTTTGTGAAGCCATTTTAAAATGCAAAGATCACATAGGATGACTGCTTTTTCAAAAATGATTTTATAGGGTAACAAAGTAATGCCAATGCTAGCAAGGGGGGAACTGCCTGAAAAAATAAATAAGCAAACGCTGCTCCAAGTACATGACCAGCAGAGTCGTTTCTTGCAAACAACCCACTTAATAATCTTCAAAATTACCCTCTTAGAGCTGCATATAAACATGCAGGTTTTGTCTGTATCAGAACTAAAAATAATCCCCTACCATAAACAGCAGAATAAAAGACAGTAAGGGCCCAGGACACTTTCTTCTTCAGAAGGATGGTGATGAACTTATGTTGGTAAATAATAAAGCTAAATTTGGAAGTCTGGGATGTTTAGGAATTTGTTAATGACTTTTGTTTAAGAAATTAGCTAAGGGGATCTGCAGCTAATTCTGCCTTACGTAAACTTCCAACAGTTTCATGCAACATGGAGCTAGGTTGTAGTTGTTGCATTGACAGCTGTCTACACAAGATACATCTGTATGTTCACTGGGGTTTTTGTATGTTGGCTTGCCGCATGACCTGAAACACAGAGCTGGGTAAAGCTACTTGCCCTAAATAGTTTGAAAATACAGGTCATTTGTAACCTCTCAAACACAGGAGTTTTGTTTTTGCCCCCACAGTATGCACAGGGATAGCACCTTTTTGCAGAGGAATTTTACGTCTCAGAGGTAGTCTTTCACATCAGCCTGGGACTTTAACTTGTAACAGAAACATTTTTTGCACAGTTTGATTTGATAAATCTCGGTGAATAGCATCGGAGAGGCAGCAATAGCTATTGCAAAAAAGATAACATTTTTCATTTGATGCAGTCTTAATATTTTACGTACTTATCCCCTATCCTACTATGCTCCCACTTTCAAAAAGCATGTTGGAAGAAGAAATGTAGAAAGGGTGATTAAAGAAAAGCAAGTGGGAAGTTTTGGTTTTAGCTGTTCCTTCAGATGTGGGCTACACAGAAAGCAAGGCAAACTCAACCTATAAATACAGCAAACATGAACCCTCGGCATTATACTTGGCCTGCACAATATCAACACAGATGAATGAAAAAGTTCAATACTCTGCTCTTCTCAACCCATTTACAAAAACCATTTCCTTTAGTGGTCAGGCCTAGAAGCTGGAAAGCTGCTGCAGATAGGATACCTGAATATTTTAAACCACAGACATTTATCAACTTGTTTCATTTTGGTAGAAGACTACTTTCCATGACAAAACTACTACTGAAAACTGTGGCCACCTCAATCCACCCGCAACCTCGCAAGTAGTAAGAGTGGGATTTCACAGATTCTGACAGCCTCCACGAAGACAGTAATAAAATACAGCAAGTATGACAACGGCTGTAAGAGGTTGCTAAAAACTATTCCTTAAGATCATCTGCGAAACCCAATGGTAGAGAAAAGGAGGGTCCAGCAGACTTGGTTCTGGAGTGGGACTCAGAGCACTGCTGCTTGCTTCCTGAGACCCTCTGATTCCTCTTCTCTCTCCACTGGGTTTTACACTACACTACGGTACAGACACATTTATGGTTTTTATTTCTCTCTTACATTGTCTGTGGTTTCTCAGGTGATAACAGTATATTAGGCACCACTAACAGAAAAATTTGGTTTCAGTTCTTTATTATAAATTTGTTTTTCTAACAACCTGATTCTCTGTCTTCATAATATTAAAATAATAATATGGTATAATGACATAGGTGTACTGTGAGGTTCCTATTATTAACAGGTACCAGGATGTTTAAAATCTGTAGAAAGGTAAGCTCTGTTATGGACTTTCACTATGTTGTTATGCAAGTTCATTATCAGCATTGTTCTTGTCTGTTTGGCCACTATTTTGTTCTCCCAGTGTATAAGGCTGCTGGAACTCCATACGCATTGTGATCTTTATGTACCTCCGCACTAGGGTGTTTTTTCCATCAACTCTAATAACACCAACTTTCACAGTAGCCAACTGTGTAGTTCAATCATGGAGTGAGAGGGGTAAGGAGGTAACTTGCCTGCAGTTTCTAGAGATTTGGCTCCATACGAATGGCTATTGACTTTCTTAAATTCTCCTAAAAAGTGAGCTGCTTCAAAGACAGATTTTAGAAGCAACTTTACAAACTCTGAAACTGTTTCAAGTAGGTCAAATTGTATTTCCAAAGAAAATACTGCATATTACTTAAACGATACTAAGGCCTATAGTGTTCTGTGATCAGCAAGTGGAAAATGCTCAGTGGCCATGACTGGAAAAATATACTGAAATCACAGCTGAAGTCATGGACCAGAGTTTTCAGGCAAAATGTTGTGTAATAGTCTCATTATAAGGGCTTCACAAATTAAATGTGCTTTATAACAGGTTGCACAGATGTTTTGTCTAGGGACTTCTACCCACCATTATATGTAGTATGAAAAATTAAATTAGTTGTAATATTACTAGCTTATCCAGGAGTTTATCAACCAACAGTACATGATAATGCCCTAAGGTACTTTCAGTCTGGCTTTACAACTCATAGTTATGATCTCAGAGTTGATTGTAAAGTTGGGAGTGCTAAGTTAAAAGCAGACTGTACCAGATGAGATGAGATTCAGCTAATCAATCTGAACGGATCTAGTACAGCATTAGAATGTCAGTGTTTTGTATGTAGCTACAGGTTTTAGTTACTGTTGGAGACTTTTTTTACTAGTGTTTGCAACTAGAATGTATTTGCTGTTTTGCTTTAAAACTTCTGTGTTATGCCGTACACTGTGCTTTGCTATTTTAGATATAACAGCAAAATAACTGCTGGTTATCATCTTCTAGTTATGTTATTAGGTCAATTAAACCAGTTGAAATAAGAAAGTTACGACAGTCAGGCACAGAAGAGGCTTCAGAATTGGCTTCAGAATTGGCAGAGCCAAACAAAACGGCTTTTAAGGTCTGATTTAAAAAACAAAGCCTTTGCCATACATAGGGCTCCAAAACATTAGGAATAAACGAGGCCAGGTGGCTGACTGTATATGCTCATTTGTGTATATAATGTTGTTGGGCAAGAGAGTAAACCAGATCCAAGCTCCTTTACAGAAGCTGTATCTTTTATTATTCTTAATACTACTTTACTTAATACTGCTGTTTTAAATCCCTGAAATACTCTGCACAATCAATTTGATGAAAAAGGCCATTCAACGGCATAGTGAAAGCTTCTGGGAAAAGCTACTTACAGTAAATAGAAATTCATTTTCATAAGGAGCAAATACTATTTTGCACATAAAGCGAAAGGTGGCACTCACCAGCTTCACGCAGATAATGAAAGGTGGAGTTGCGTCTCTGAAGTGACATATAGGAATTTTTGGTTTTGGTCTCTCCTGCAGGAAAAAGCAGTAGACTTCAGTAGAGAGGCACACATGGTTACTTGCTGGCTTAGTTTTAGGAGCTACTAAACTGAAAGGGGAAAAAATCATTTTGAGACCTCATGCTAAATAGTCCAGCTGGTCACATGCTTCCGCTCATTATTTTGCCAGTCGTTTCAAATACCCCTTATTTTCTTACCATAATCTTTCAATGCAATTCTGTTTCTTTGAACGAAGTTACACATTACACCACATCTGAATTAAGACCTTTCTGCTGTTGAAAGGAGAAGGTCTCGCTCCTCTCCTCCACTGCTTCTTCCTTACTTCCAAGCTCTACTTTTAGCCTTTCCCAAACAATTCCCTCTTTGATCTGATTGCAAGGTATGCTGCTTTAATAGCCTATCCCATAAAAAATATGTTCTTTCTTTTTTTGGCAGGTTAATTTTCTGGCTCTTTAGTGAGCTGCATCAGCTTACTGTGCCATCAGAGAAGCATCAGCACAGGCACAATAGTGGATACAAAGGAGAATCTTTCCCTCTCAGTGGGAACTGTTAAACGGCTTATGCCCAACTAGAACTTCACCATGGATCCAAGCTGTAGAATTTTCTAAGGATTCACAACAGGTTGCAGTACAATCTTCTTTATGACTGATCTGAGAGGATGGGTAAGTCTTAGGAAGACAAATGCACAGGATCTGTAACAATATGCTGACAGTATTACTGCACTGGTAGTGAGTCCTCAGTATTCCAGGTCAAAATCCTGAACTCAGATTGCTTTCATGCAGCTGAAAGCACTCATTAGCTTCCCAGTATAGAATTTGATTTTACAGTTACTCTAGTCTAACCACAAGCTGTATCTGAGGAGATGCCCCTCCTCTCCCTCTACCCCTCCCTCAGTCCTTCTCCCATCAGATACAAGGATCATGCAACCTCAGGGTAATTTGATTCACAAGATAACTTGCTGGAAAACTTTTTATTTTGAGGGTTCCTTTTCTGCCAGATCAGCTAACTGAATCAAGTCATCCTTTAGCCACAAGATTGCTAGACCCATTATAAACAAAGCAGTGGAAGTGTGTGGCTGAGGCCCGTGAGCGAAGTCAGACCACCCCTGCAGCTAGACTGGCTAAGCTGTAATGTCAAACTGCGCTCTCGGAAGACTGCGCTCACAGGACCTGATCGAATGCCCAGTGAAACTAAGAACTGTCTTTTCACCAACTGTTGTAGGGACTGAATCTGGATGAAACTTTACTCCAGGTCTTGAGCTAATTGCTCTCATGAAATTAATACTGCAACAAGATGACATTTTTTTTTCTATATGGTTTGTTTATTGCCATCTAAATATCACGCTTCCTTGTCTAGGGAATAAAACATTGCTGCCTACAATTTTAGGCTCCCAAGGAACTTATTAAACTTTTACTCAGATATAGTATAACTATAATATACAGATATGTTACAATTAATCACAGAAGCTTTCTTTATTTTAATAGATATTTGACTTTTATCCATCATGAGCCAAATTCTACTCTCACTTAAAACAAAAAACTGTCAGTGAAGGCGATGTTTTACCCCATCATCAGAATCCTTTCAGAGCGTATATATTTTTGTCTTTCTAACCTGACTTCAGTGAGTGTGAGGTCCATAGTTCTGGCTCCATAGTTCGCATTCCAGTATCAATCCCCAGCTACCTAGTCTTCTGTCACAGCCTCCTTACCAAAATGAGTTGCTATACAATATTTAAAACCAGTGATGTATTCTTTCATCACATTTCCCAGAACACTTCCAGATCACAGTAAAGAATGCAAGAGTACTTATAACTAACCTCAGATTCTTCGTACGTGTAGAATCCTTTTGTTATTTTCTTTTCATCAACATCACAAAACGCAGTTACCTGGCAAAACAGAAGCAGAGCATTTCAATACCATTCTTTGCTACCAGCAGGTATTTCACATGAAGTCTATCTATGTAAGTAATGCTGCAGGCATGTGAATGAACACAGGAATAAGGCAATGCACCCTGGACCCACAGAGCTTAAAAATGTATTAAATCCTTTCCAGGTGTATCTTAAGGAGATGAGCAAATTTTGCAGTTCTCTATGAGCACGTTATGTTTTTATGAACATGAGAACAGGTCATCGAAGCTACTGACTGTGTAAGATCATCAACTTCATCCTCAGAGATATGCTAAGTAAACTAAAAACAGAGATTAGCTTCCTCATTTTGGCACTTCCACTAAACACCTAGGATTAGATAATACAAACCTTCCTCTTTCTGCACACCCCAAGCATATAATCTACCACCAGATACCTCTGTATAACAGTGCTGTACTATTGCTTTGGATGCTCTGGTAATACCAGCCTCAATTCTAGGTCATAACACACCAAGTTTGGGAATTCCTATGGTTTTGGACTTTGTATTTTTCAACTGAAACATTCAGCAGATTTGGTGTTTAAACACATATAATTACTGCTTCATTTTGGTTATTCTTACTGTAGTTATGGAAGCATTATTTGCAGCCCTAGTTGCCAAATATTTCAGATGGTTTTTTATTTGCATTCCTCATAAATATGCAGGCAGATTAAATGCCTGCAATCCAAAAAACACAGTGGCCCCATTTTTGAACCATTAGGTTGCCAGTAACATTTGGGAAGACTTTTTAAAATAAACATAGCTATGTTTTCCTCTGACTTCCATTGGATCTATTCATATTATCTACACAGAACTCTTATACTGAAGCAGAACAGTTAAGATAGTTAAGGTCTTGCAGAAATCAATTATTCTGGTGAAAGCTGGATAGCAGTTTTCCTATCTTTTTAATTGTTGCATTAAAAATTGATTAACAACACTTACTGCTGAGAAGATTTGAAAAGCCAAACAGCTGTTTATTAATTTACTAAGTTAGAGAAGGCTGCAAAAGGCTGGCTTGCTTTCTGGGTCTACAAATCTCTCACACATTTTCCTCCTATGATTAAGATAGTTTTCTTTTACCTAAAATGACCTCATTCTGTTTGTGCAGAGGAAAACACTGACAGAAGAGCATTGGTGTCATAATGCTGAACTTCTGTGTTCTTTGTTGCTACCTCACTCCCGACACAGAGTGCCACCTTTACAGCCCAAGGGCAAAACTGCAGAGGAACAAAACTGTGTTACATGTGTTTTCAGGCAATGGCCAGGTAGAGCTCCATTCTCTTGCAACATAAAAGGTGTATCTACATCAAAAATCTTTGGAGATATTTCCACTATCCAATGGAACAGTTTTCTATCCAAATCCTTAAACACCATAATATCAGTTCTTCCATTAAACATCAATGAAAAGAGAATACAAACAAAAACATCAAGGGACTACAAATATGGCAAAGTCAGTGTGGAAAATACAGCTAATAAAATGGAGGGGGTGAGCAGGGATAGTCCTTGGAACCACTTAGAGGTAGACATTCATACCTGGAAAATAGATTGCTTAAAAACAGGCACCAAAAGAAATAAAGAACAGAACATTAAAGAAACACTAAATTTTCACTTTGGGGCTGTATGACTAAAGGAATCACATTACATCCCAGCAGATCCAGACTTTTGCTTTCGATGATCCTGATGCAGGGATTGCACTAAGGACACTTCCTCCCGTTTCAGGCATTACAATGGAAATAAAAAGAAATAAGGGAATTCAGGGCAGTACTAGGAAGCTACTAGACATTGTACAAGGTCTTTGTGGCTGAAGCAGGCAGGGTTAGACAGTAGCAAACACAAGCAACTCCTTCAAGCACAAAGACTAAGAACGAGGATCTTTCTTAGGCTTTCTTTTTTCTCTTAAACGCAAGTTAATACACTTTACATCCCTGAACCTATTTCCATGATCACTGCAATGGTTTATTGTAGTTGAAAAATCAGATGGTGTGGACTGAGCACAGTAAACTACTAAATCCCAAGATTTCCTCTACCTATCTTATTTGTATGTGTACATACACACACAAATATATAAATATGTATATATATGAAAGAAAGCAAGTAGAAGCCACTGTGGAAAGAGAGGTTACTTAGCTGTATACTTTTCATTCTGTGTTAACAACCTTTAAAATTCTCCAATATTCTGCAAATCTCAGTTCCACCACTGATGTTTTACTGTCCTAGAAGCTGTGATCATTATAAACAAAATTTAGCAGGATATGTCTTCACTGTCAACCCAACAGAGTTCTGGGAATAAATACAGTCCAATACATTGACTTATCTTCCAATCATTTAAGCTATTTTTTCAGCTGCTCATACTCCTATAGATTTTAAAAACCAAAAAAACTCACGAAAACTTTTGACAGAAGGTAAAATGAAATTCTATCTACACTTTAATGTCAGTAACTGAGAATTCAGCCCTAAGATCTGTGCTGGAAAGTATCACACTGTTCACCTTCAGCATGTTACAATACAGTTAACAGAAACCCCTGACTGCTGCATAGATTTCTTCTTTACATGAATGGTATTAGAGAACCAAAGATAGTTCTTGTATCACTAGATTGCCAACAATCACAACACTTCCTCTCATCCTGTGCCGTAACTCATACTACCATGTGTAGAAAATTCTGCAAACTGTCTTTGCCACACTAACCACCCAGCCCCCAGACAATCTAGCACACGAAACTCCTGGTAACAGCAGCTGTGTGAAAAAAAAAAAAAACTTGACAGGTAAGTCTGTGACAAATTTCCCTTGGAACATGGAAATGACTCTAACCTTTTTTTGAGTTACCACTAAGTAACGTGGAGTAAATTATACTCCATGTATAATTTTCAATGGATTCAGCCAGCTTAAATCTGATATTTACAGTATTATAAAACAGGTCAGACTTGAATGTGCAAGTTTTCTGCCAGGCTGTACACCATGTGGGTGGCCAAAATGTAAGTCAACTATTTTTCTGACACACACTATTATTTTCCAATTAAAGAAAATCTATGGCTGGAGACTAAACACAGGACTTAACGCACAGTTGTTTATCCTATAAGGAGAACTCAAGGCAACAGGCTTATATGAGCTATTTACTTTACGCTATTAAGATAAGCCCAGAGTTACCTATTTATTTTCCTGCATTAATGGGCTTCTTTCTTGTATCTTTTATGAAGATCATCTATCCATACATGAACTACTGTCTCCCAGGGAGGAACCTATGAATTATAAAGCTATAAAGCAGTCTCAAGTTGGTTTTTTCCCCCTCCTTCTAGCAAAATGGCTCTTTTACAATGCCTCTGACAATATGACACCATTGAAGCTTACAGAGTCCTCAGATCACACTTCAGTTTTAAGAAAATATATAAATGATTACATATTTTTGCTTTAAACATCACTTGTATGAAAATCTGCACAATTCCAAAACAAAGAAAAAAGACTGCTATTTCTCTCAGCTAAAAATTGGAAGAGACACCTAGGTATCTATTATATACAAGCTACATAATTACTGTAAGTAATTTTTATAAATACAGATTGCCACATGTGATAACAACGGTGTAAGGGAAAAAGGGAAAAAGGAGAAATAGTTTTCTGCCTCCTAAGAGAAAGTTTATATGGCTCAAAAGATAAGATATTTACTCAAAAAAAAAATCTCTGCTAGGGGAAGACATGTTTGAAGAAGATAAAAGCACTTCTCTGGCTGGTTCTTTTTAATAAACACAGCAGCTGGGTGAAGGGACACGCAGGCTGGGACTATCAGACCTCCCTGTGGTAAAAGGAGATTAATGGGCAGCAGATTAATCCTCCTCCAAATGTACAACCTAAGAAGTCAGTAAGAGTGGGCTTGGGGTGCAACTGTAATTAGCTGTGCAACTATTACACAAGAATTAATAGTTTGTTTCATACTTGACTTGTTTACCACCTTGTTGGCTACTGCAGAGGATGCTTCCTTACACTTCCTATTCCACTCAGATATCCTAATGGAAAAACTGAAAGATTTCATCAGCCTAATAATGTCCTTTTATGGTGAATGATCTTCACAGGATTTTATTCCCTCATCTTATTTTCACCTGTGGTCTGCTTTAGGTCTGTAATGATCATTTACAGAAAGCAACAAAATGTAATCACAGCAAAATCTCAAGATCTGTTCTAGCTAGAAGGATACGAGGCAAGTTTTACAAGGGAGAGCAAGTAACTTAGTAGAGCATGATAGAAAAAATGGACAACCCTTTTGATAAATGGTCACCTGCACATTGTCTCCTCGCCCTCCTCATTACATCAATTGGTCTCACAAAATTTATCTTTAAAGAAGGCAACCTGCAAACTCTCTACAAAATCCTGTATGAGCAGATCTTCCCTATTGCATTCTCTCCACATCTCATGCAATCCTTCACCCATTTTAAACTTCTAGTGACCCTCTTGATTCTTCTGTTTGTAATTCTTTCATTCAAACTTGTATAAAGCCTCGGAAGCATGTTAATATACATCTCTGCAAAAGTTAAATCAATTTTGGCCATTCATGTCAAAACACAGTAACTGAAAGCATTATAATGCAAGTTTAAATAGATACAGTTAATGACAAACAGAACAAGAGACATGCAGAGGCATAAACATCTTCCAGTACACCACAAGCAGAACCATGAAACTAGCAAGCAACTCTCCGTCACAATCTGAATGATTTTCAGTATCAGGGTGCTGCTTTTATTTCACCTCTTTAGCATTACAGCCATGACAGAAGCTGTGGGTATCTTTAAATTCCAAGCATGCATTTCATGACTCCATTTAAAGACACTGTTCCATTAAAGATAGCAGCATCTTTCCTCTTTGCACATATACGTAACGAAGTTGCTCGAGAGAATTTTAATACCAGAATCCAACATGCAAAATCAGCTGCTAAATGTTGTACATATAAAATTTCTGTTATTACATAAAACATACAACTATGTTTCTACGTAACAGTGTGGGAACTAGTTGTGTCTCATTTCTCTAGAACAGGTAACTTTCTGTTAGTAATGCCAGTAACTTTTCAAGTGTGCATGCCTCTGTACTGACAAAACAGACATTGCAAAAAGCACATCTTCCCGAAGAAAAGCAGCAGGGAGATTTCCCTGCCATGTTTCAGCATGAAGTATTCACTATAGTCCAAAAATCTGCACAATTCTGTCTACTTTACCCCATGTTATTTTAGGATGCTTTATACCTGGATTTAACGGAAGCTTTCAAATTTAATCTCTCTCCTTTTGTTCTGTAGGCTCTCTTTTAACTCGCTTTCACGTTGTCATTCTATCTTTCGCTCCACAGTCAAGGTGGGCGTAATATTCTTCCCTTTATTTATGTTTCTTTGCTTTTACATGTCCCACTTTAGTCTCTCATACTGCCATTCATATACTTTAGAGTAGTTAAAATGCTGCAAAACTTATATATTTCTTGCTTTTGTGAAACAGCTGAAGGATCATAGTTGAAGTACATGGTTTAGTGACGTTGCTCTTAGAAAAAGGTGAAGAGAAACTAACAGATGATTTTAAATGGTTAATGAGCTAGGAAAAAGGGTGTACAGAATAATTTCTTGAAGCTTTCAAGTTTGCCACTGGTGGATAGGGTTGTCATAGAGAATCTTCATGTGCTGGCTGCGTACTAGTACTGTTTCCATGCCACTAATTAGCTGATGCTTATTTTGTCCTTTCCCCCTGCTTTTCTGTTAGCTACTTGAGCACTATTTTCAGCTATCGGAAATGACACAAAATGTTAATGCTGAAGTTCTCCTTTTAGCTAAAGTTTGATGGAGAATAAAAGAGCAGACAAGACAGCTCAGAAACCCTCCAGGCATATGTAGCATCCCAAAAACATTTGGTTTCCATCTTCAGCTGCAAATTATAGACAAGACGGATGTGTTTTAAACAAAAAAAGGTCTGTTCGACTTCATTCTTGCAGAAATGCTAATACTGAACCACTGTCAACTGTGTGAATCAAGAAGGGGACAGCCAGGAAACAGAATTTCCCTAAGAATACTGAGATCCTGGTAATTAATTCATAAAAAACCTACTAATTGAATAATTTTTTTCTTGTGTTGCTGTTTAGCAAAAATACTGAGCCTTGGATTTTTGCCTGAACTCTTTGGAGACAAAGCATTATTTTAATATTCACCATACAGATGTCTGAAGGAAAAGAGAGAATATTGCTTAGGTGTCCTTTTCTCTTTTAACATAGCCATAATTCAAATTCATACTGTTTTTCAAACAGACTACAGTAATAATTTGTTAGTGAGTATGAACGTACACAGATTGCTGCTTCCTAGAATTGCCAAAATTTTGTTTTCTAAGAAACAATGCTGTTCGGCATGCAACATACTTACACTTTTCAAACATCCCACAAAAACCTAATCAGTATAAGAAATACAATTGCTTTGCTTATCAGATTCTAAAAATACTAGAAACATTAATTTTTGGAAAAGTTGTTTTCTTACATGCCCTAAGCTTGACAGTTCAAACTAATTAATTCTCTTCCTGAAGATTTAGTAGAGTTTAGGTTTTTTCACAATTACAAAATAATACAAGCTGTATGCAATAGTTTTTTTGGGGGGGTTTATTATTTATTCTAGGAGTATGTCCCCCAAATTTTCTACAGGTACTTAGTGCCCATTTAGAAAACAACCCTGCTATGACTCCACATTCCAATCGAAATCAGTCTCATGACATTTAATGAAATTCTGAATTTCAATGAAAGGATGGATGCAGCAACAGTGAAACGGAGCATAGGTGAAATTTTCAAGAGTCTAAACTGATTTAAAGTATAAAAACAACTGAAATTAAATTTAGACAGTTAAATTATACAGCTTAGTTAAATTATGCAGCTTATTTTGGCAATTTTGCCTGCATTTCAAAGAGTATTATACCTTTTAAGATCACACTGTTTTATACAACTGGACCTTCAGAGGAGAAAATGGTAATTGTATTGATGTAATACACCATATTTTGTCTTAAGGGGCTTTTGGAATTGTATTTTAAAGTGGTCTATTTTACATAATTGATGAATTCATATCCCAGGGCCTCCATTTACAGAACAACACTAGATTCTACTTGTAGATTCAAAATGATACTGAATAGCTAGTGTTCTCATAATCAACAGAACATATGAAAGCTTAAATCTTAAGGTAGTCTTTAAAGGGTGAGACAGGAAAAGTATTTTATTGCTTTTTAGGGCTGGAAAGGACAAAGCAACAACTATTTACAACCTTTGTTCATATGGGATTTTAGAATCTTTGGCAAGAGTTGAAGATTAGTCACAAAATACCTGAAGGATTTTTGAGGAAAAGTATAACATGGAGTTTAACTACCCTCCTTTTAGTGTTACAAATTTAGAATAAAATGAAAACTGCCATGAATTACCTACTGCAAATTTTATGAATTTATTTCCTGAAACTCCAGCAGCATAATCCTTTGATTAGCACTTGGAGAAGTGAGATGTTTTAACTACTTCTACAGCCTTTTGCCAATGACTTACTATGAAACATTAGGATATCATTTAAACTTCAGTTCTGACTGAGATGGATAGAGTTGGGATCTCACTTTTGTAAAAGCTAGGAAGTTACAATGGCAATCATAATGAGCCTGAACAGCTACATAAAACTAGTGCTTTCATCACTACAGTTAACACTAATTTAATCAGAAATTAGCTATCTAAAAGCTAGGCCTCTGCTCTCACTTAGGATGATACAAGTCACTTTCTGAAGCTATTTATCTTCGCTGGTTATTGAGAAAACCTCCGAATACTTCAGATAACATGTCAGACTTAGTGGATAAAGTTTGATTACTCTATATAAGGTATTAAGGTTCAGACTGTGACTGCATTTTAGCAGTACTTTTCTGCAGTACATTTGCAAAATGAGTCATACCTGGCATGTGCAATTGCATATGGCATGTAAGCTTGCTAAATATGTCTGGTATAGTATCCAGTAATTAATGGGTTAATGCTCAATGCAACATTTCAATATCAAACTAAAGCATACTAGAATATGTGCAATTGTAACCTTGACAGAAGCAAAATAGCATCATGGCCTGCAACACTGCCAAAGCAAACGTTATGTAAAGGTCAGCTGGAAAGAAAGTCAAGATTCAGTTAATTAGAACCACACTGTCAGTGCTAGCATCCCAGGGAATGAAGGTTATTCCTTACTGAAAGAGAGGTAAGCTTTGGTTCTTTGGCAGAAAAATGGCAAAAAAACACCAATATTATTTTTCTCTTGCCCTTTTTATCATCTCTGCAGTGACATTTTCAAATTATCATTGTGTTTGAACAGGATGTGAAGTCCCGAATGAGTCACCTATAGAAGTAGGTGGCAAACGTAACCCACAACTAGAGAGGTGTTCTATCTTAATATCAATATCCATTTTGGCTTGGCACAAAAAAAGCTAGAAAACAAAACAAAACCAAAAAAACCCAACACCTAAGATGGTGAGACACTGCTACAAAACCAATATAATCTATATTTCCCGTAACATCACAAAAATCTACCAGACAAGCTGCCATCTCTTCCCTTGGAACTTATTTTCTAATTCTCATAATTTTGCAGACAGAAAAGTGCAATGGTTGCTAGTAAGTCAGTGGAATTCACAAAGTGCTCTGCAAAATTCTTACAAGAGAGAACATTTTCATAAACCCTCCAAAGTCATGTGCACACTGCACTGCATGACCAAGATAACTTAATACATTTAGTGGACAGTTCTGTCCTCTTTGAACAAAGTAACTGATTGGAGACACATAGCATTTCATCTTCTTTCTTCATACAGTTCACCCACTGCGACGTGATGGCAATGAAAGAGGGATGGCATTGGAATATCAAGCGGGAAATTCAGGTTCAATTCTTGTGTTGTACATTTACTGCATGAGTATCTCCCATGTCTATTCAGTAATTTCAACTATGGGTATACAAATTTCTTCTATTTTTTTTTATGTGTGTGTGGTCTGAGGGCCACAACATTAATCAAGTTTACATATATATTTGTCATTTTGTCTTCCCATCCATATTTTTAAGAAAAGAAAACACGTTCAGTAATAAAATGAATATTCTGTGGCTCTTTATAAGAAACAGCCATTTGACATTAGCCCTAAAGCCTTATCTAACAAAAAGTTATTACACAGAAGAAAATGCTATAAAAGTAACATATTTAAACTCTCAGACAAATCTCTCCTGAGAAATATGTCATTTGCAAATATAAGTAACCTCCACATTTTTAATTAATTATAAATTGAATTAGATAGTCATGTACAATAGTTTCTACTCGCCTGTTCACCCCGCATCCCACCCCTATTTTTAAACAATCAAGCTTTTCAAAAGGGAGTTACAGTACAATTACTCCTCATAATACAAACCAGGTTCATCAGCATCCAATAGGGACCTGTCCAGTATCCACTTAGGAACTGGGCAAATATGATACATGTATGAATAATCCTGGACAAGGTAGTTTAGTATTACACCATCCAAATAAAGAGCTATTGTACTCACCTTGGGTACCTGGCTACTACATGGTTAGTTACACAGTAGCAGACCATAAACAGTTATATAGTGTGTCTAACATATTACTATGCTTAGTCAACAGCAAGCATGGGTGCATATGTTGCACTACATACACACCGTATGCTCTAAATAAAATAAGATAGCATTTTAAAAGAAGAAATACATTATGCAGAATATTGAGAATTTCCCCAATTTATATTAATCATCAACTAGTAGTTTGGAAACAAAATATCTTATGAGAATTTTGCTACATTATGTTAGCAGCAGCAAGGAGGCATATGAAAGAGAAGAAAATGTTTTTGTACAGATGTTACCCACTCTTACTAGCTCACCTTTTTCTGATTAGCTGGTGACAAGCTTCTATAGAGCTTCTTGCCTTGCTTGCCAGCATTCCAAATGGTGAATGATGCCCAGGAGCTCAGGACTCTGTCTTCAAGAAACCTGACTCGGTGATTCCAGATGGTTCCCCTGAAGAGTTAGAAAAAGGGTGGATTTTGACCCCTAGAACTTCTAGCATTATTATATACCTATATGCATATGTACATACTCACATACACATAAACCTGACCAAACTGATTCACACATGATACAAAAAGTCACACCAAAATATTATATTAGAAATTTCCAAGAGAAATGTAAACTGTTGCTAGAAAAAAAGAAATTCTGTGGAAGTTCTCAGGTAAAAATCATTAGGATAGATTTGAAGCTGTAGATAAACCACTATTATTTTCAAGAACCCTAACAGAAGATCACAAGAAGATGAAAAACTGTGGCTACGGTAATCAAATCCCATACCAACAACGCCAACTGCCCACCAATACGCAGTTTGCCCATACCCATACTCACCGTATGAACTGCTCTATAACCCTGCAGTGCATACAGGCAAACGATCTCCTAAATCCAAGATGACCTCGTCATGTTCCATCTGTCCATGCATTCATTCTCCTTTGTCAACGTGAAGTTGAAATCCCACAAATTCAGTACTCCAATCGACCCAAATATACAGCCCAATGCTACAATGAAAGTCCATTTACATTGTGGTATTTGGCTCAAGTCTTCAACAAGTCAGTTTTCAAAGCTCTGAATCAGCAGACACCCATAGAGCAACAAATAATCATTGAACTGCAAAGTCACATGCAACACTGAAACGACCGGCTGTTACACACACAATTCACACTTGTGAATGTGCACATACCCACTTCAGACCAAATAAGAGCGATTTAATTTTAAAGGTTCCAGGTATTACTCAGCAGTGATACAAATGTGACTGTGCCTTTATTTGAGGACGACTTTTATAAGAAATAGCATTTCTAGAAACAAAGAGCAGTGGAAATTATTTTTCTTTTTTTTTTGAAGAAGTGGTGTTCCTCATAAAACTTCTTAAAATATGCTTTAGAAAAAAAGCAAGCTGGCAGATGTCTGTGTCCAATTACACCTTTATGTCTTCATGTTTGTAATAAGTTCCACAATATAATTTAAGCCAAGCAGTTGAGGTAAACAACTGTGAGACTAATGCCAAATGATGAACTGCATGGCTTTGGAACCAGTAACAAGGGAACACCTAACATCTTTAAATACTTAAGACCTGTTGAGATCTTCAACAAGTTCAAGGTAGGTTCTCGGAAAGAGAACACAACTTCACAGAAAGCATTTGTTCATGGACCATTCCTCCCAGCTGTCAAATTCACTTTGACGACCACAACTTTTTTATTGTGTGTGTGCGTCCGCACATTTCCTATCACTTTCAATCAGGTATGCTTTTAAAACAGCAATTCCCACCCTATAATGTAATATTTAAGACTACATCATTTACAATGGTTTAAAGAAAACTGCTGTTAAGAACATCTGTTTTATGTCCAGGGTTCATTTAATATTCATTAACTAGGAACTTATCTCATACTTAATAAACAGTTTTCTAGATACAGTAAATTGACTTCCTCAATTTATGGCTTGGTGGACGAATCTTCCTAATCTATATCTCTTGAACAAGGCACCTTGACTTGAAAATTTCTTTCATAGGAAGTTCTGATAGACACCTAATTGTCTCTCCTTTCTGAAAGCATTTCTTCAAATAAGTTTTTCCATTTGCTTTATCATGACAGAACACAATACACTTTATAACAATTGTTACAACTTGTTCTACAATTTGTAATACCTCTTCTGATCCAAGAAATTAGAAGCTGAAATTAGTTAAAGTATTAACGGAAAAAAACCAGTAATTTGCCTGTGAGATCCTAAATCTGCCTATGGTTTTCTTTGTCTTGGGAAGCTCGTATTTTTTCCTACTAATATACCTTCTTCACAGTTCAACCTTGAGCTCCATAGTCTTCTGACTATATCAAGTTGATATGGAATTTAAACATCAAAATACTCAAAGAATATGTTATTTCTTCTGCTTCAAATAAGGCTTCTGATTCATGAGTCAGCAGAGGTTCTCATTGGGCAACTACAGCAAGTTATTTCTGGTTTGCAAGTGCAGCTTGCCACTTTATAGAAAAATCAAAATCCGTTCAAGCTTCCTTGATGTTAAGGATCTAAACTGTCCAGGTGGGTAGAGAGTCAGGAACAGGAGCTGCTACAGCAGCTGATTCATTCATCAGACTGCTCTGTCTCCTAGTTGCCGTTCTGATTATCCATAATCCTGTATGCATTACACCAATTTTCTCTTACAAAACTGTAAATACATGAGTATGATCACTAGACATGTCTGACATTACAGTTACATCTGATTTCTATGAAACATTTTCAAATTTTTCCTTTTTGTAACGGATTATCAAATATGACAAAGCCAAATTTTTTGTTCCAAATTATTCTTATGAAGTATTACATTTGAGGTTATTGAGGTTAATAGGTTACCTAATTTATTCCCAAAAGTTTGCTAGCAAATTTTTCTAATATTCTACTGATAGGAATTTTGTGTTGTTCCTTCACATCCCTGAGTGATGGTTTGAAAAACAAGAAACCCTCATAGCACTAAGACATATGGATTCTTGCAGGGATTATTAGTTAGCTCCAAAGAGCCCACTTCACTTCAGCGTGCAATTTTTGAGCACAGCCAAATCCTGCTTAGCACTTCATCATTGATTGTGGTGTGATAACTTGGAAAGAACTTGACACACCAATAAATGTACCCAAGAAGAAGAGTTAACTCCATATAAAATTTCCGCACTGTTTTGAAGACTACAGCACTTCAACTAATGGAGGAAAAAAAAAAAATCTTGGATTTGACTGCAAATCTTTTTTCCTGCTGCAAAGCTTTAGCTGCTGCTGGCATCCTTTGACACTTGCCTTTTTCCATGTTCATTAGAGTATACTATATTCCCAGAAGAAAAGTTAAAGGAAAGAAATATGAAGGTCAAGTATTTTTCCAGGATCACTTTACTGGAAATTTTAGAGCTTCTGCTAGCTTCTAAAAAGGAAGATTATTGCTTTACATGTAAATGGAAAAGTTTTAAAACTGATTTTACTTTGAAATGTGACTTCAAAAGGATAACACTGTATTACATTCCAGAGGTACTTCAGAATCTGTTCTGTTGACTTGAGTGACACAGGCAAGTTTCTTTTCCGCTTGAGTTTTCAAAGTTAAGAAAGCTAAGGAAAAAACAGGCAACCTTACAAGGCATAAAAAGAATTATCAACTAACTTCTAGTTGTAGGGCAAACACTGGAATCTACGTCCAGGCACACAGAAAATGTTTCTATTAGTCATGGAAATATCCCGGTACATTTAGTATTGGTTGCTTCCAGACAGTATGCATTTGCTGCCTAGGTGACGGGTGCCTATATTCCACAGAAGTCCCTATAGAGGTAAAATTCAAGCAGACCAAATCTCATTGTTGGTAATCACCCACAAAGATTTGAGACGGAAGCAGATTTACTGACCCAATCTTATCTATGAATGCTATATTGAGAAATGCAAGTGCAGAAAGTATTTAAGGGAATTGCACTCAGAAATAAAAGTATATGAAACTCATTAAACTCCAAATTAATTGGATCATTGTTCAAATACAAGAATATTGTCAGACAGGTTCATTAAAACACCAATATATGGCTTTCTTAAGTACCTATTTTGGGTTGTGAAAATGAAGCCAATATACTCGGGCACTTGTGATTTTTTGCTTGCATCACTATGAGGCACTCTTATGAAAATGCTCACAGAAAAGTATTTAAAAATCACATCCCCATATTGTATGTGCCCTTTTTAATGAAAATTTTCAGTTATATCGAACACTCTGCAGTCTTGAGTTAACCTTGAAATACTTCTAACAGTGCAAGCTGAGATCATCAGAAAAATACAGAATTGAGGGGAGAATTTGTGACTGAGCTTTAGACTGAGCTTAACCTTTGTGAAAACATGCTCTGCACGAACAATATATCTCACATGTTGAAGCAAAAGGTAGCTTACAGAGTGTCAAAAGAGAGAGTTTCAGTTATCCCCTTCAGGTTTCCGGTTCACCTAATTTGCCACATTTTTTGATGTTTCCAGAATAGATAACTGGGATTCCTGCCTTGAGGGATAAGGGAACGCCATTTTCCCATCCTTTAGGAGCCAGTGCAGGTGCAACAGACAGGAACTGTAGCAACGTGCAAAGGATGATTAAAGAAAATGCCTGAAACGATGTAGAAGTTGTACAAACCACTACTCAGAGATGATTCTCACAGCTATTTTCAGATTTTGCATTATTACATATTCATAGCCACCAGCAAAAACTAGGAGGTATTATTAATCTGCATCGTCCCAAATCAAGGCTGCTTTTCCTACCCATGTCAGAAAGGATTAAAGTAAGCAGTTTCCCAGTAGCCTTTAGTATCATTTCCTAGCCTGTATTCAGTTAACAAGATTTTCCTCACCCAGAAGGTGGGATACAAATTCTTCTGATTGTAGAAGGTAGTTCCCACATCCTAATGCTCCTCCTTGACCCAAATTCTCAAAGTACATTGTTTTCCCCATTTCTTTCATTTTCTTGTCACTTCTTTACTTTACAAAAGAAATGTAAGTAGTACACATTTTTCTACTTGGAAAATCATTCTAGAGGCTTACTTAATTTTCCTAAGATCTCACTTGCCGTGGCCCCTCAATACTCATCAGTTATGTAGTCTGGAAGGAAGAAGAGGAGCCAAAATTCTGCAGGAGTGAAATGAGGGTATTCATGCAGCGGGTGAGAATGACTACGAAGGGTGTTCCTCAGTCCCAAGTAGTTATTACCATACCATCCACCCAAGTAATATAACAATGGAGCTCTGTTAAAATGTGTGGTGACCTACTGACTGAATACAGGAGTCAAGAAACATCTGCTCTACTCCTATTTTGAAATGAAAGATAATGTGACAATAAAAGCTATATGATTTAATGTGAGCTCAGTTAAACCTCGCCATACTATTTGACTGTCTTTCCCCTCCTTCCCCCAGTGAGGCTACATAAGTGAATCAACAGAGCAGACAGATGTATAAGTACTTGAGAAATGCACAAATACAAGCCCAATATCCTAAACAGTACTGGAATTTTAGACATTGATTACCATCCACAGTAATACTATAAATCTATAAATCTGACCTTTTCTATATACGTTGGTGCCGCCTGCTACTCAGGTAACACCAGACAGGAAGAGGAGCTATTCAAGTGAACGGCCTCTTCCAGTGGTTTTTCATTCATGGCAGGATAATAGAGTTTTATATTAAAACTCACCTGATAGATAATCCAGAGACAGAAGAACAGAGAACTTTTTAATCACAGTGAGAGCTGAAAGAACAGATTCTTTATAGCTATTTTTGCATGCAGAACTCAAGGTCCTTACAATCCACACGAAACTCAGAAATGAATCCCATTTGAACCTTGACCATACTGGTGAATAAACTGATTTTTTTTGTCGTTGTTGTTCTGTTGAACTTCATGTGAACTTATTAATTGCTGGACTATATTGTCCCACTGAGTTATTACATTTACACTGTTAATAGGTTCTATTAATGTCTGAGTTCATCTTCAGGTCGTGGGTCATTAACAGAGGCATGGTTTGCATTGTGGCCTATTTTTCATGAAAGGCTTATTAAGAAAGACAGAGACTATCAATGTTAATGCCAATTACTTTTCAAGAATCTAATGAGGTCATTAGTTTCCATGTTTAATTGAAGTGCCAAATGCAAGCACAGAAGATAAAAAAGCAGTTGACCTCATCTTTATTTCAGAGGAATATGTTACGCTATTCCTCCCTCCTGCCTATTTTTGGATGCATATGTTTTTGCAGGAAATTTCCTGCGCTCATCAGTGATACGAGACCCATGCCTCAGAGTACCTCTAAAACAACCAAATGTGTGTTTCAGACTAAGTGCCTGTTCTCCTTTGCTTAAATGACACTGGAAGCTTCTAGTGCCTGAAACCAGATGGTTTCAATAGATTACGTAATTTTGGTTATTTCTGCAGAACAAGCTCTTACAATATTATACTCATTCTGAATACAAGGCATATGAAGTTACTGTAAGCCTTGCATTTTCTGCATAAAAGGGAATCGCCTGAATCTCAGAGGGAAGGTACCTTACTTTCTGCGTATATTAAATTTCTCTTGACCAAAAGCTTGTAAATTGCTACAAAGATTAGCTACCTGCCCCAACTGCCTGTCTTCATGAGCAACACTACCTAAATACAAGTACAATGTTTTATTGCTCATCTTCCTCCAAGCTGACTTTTATCTTGCAATGAGGTACATTGTTTTATATACAGTTCCTTTTTATCCCTTTTGGCAAGATAAAAATCTATGAATTTTACAATGTTTTTATTATACACCAAACTTTCTTACTACAGTACTTCTCACTATAAAGCCAGCTCTGATATTGTACCAAATCAGTGTAATGTAGCCATGTAGCACAAAGTACACACAGCCCTAGGATACAAGCTGTAATGTGAGATAAAATGATTTAGATCTAAGAGATACAATACGTGGGATTTTGTGTTGTAAATTCCTAGCTGAAGAAAAGTTTCTCAAAACTTGTATTGCTCATTCACATTTAGCAGGTATCCATCATAGACTTTAGATTAAATTACAATGAGAACGTTTATATTTCTGTATGCACCTAATGAAATCTAAATATAGACTGTACTTCATTCAGATTCTGTCATACACCCAAAACATTTAATAACGCAGCCTGATGCCTCCGGGGTAAGGGAGAATGCAAATAAGATTTTGTTTCCTGCTTCACAGATACTTTCACCTCTAGATATTTGTTCCAGAAGGATACTAATCATAGGAAATGACCTAAAAATCATTAGTGTTTACAGTTATACATACTAAATAAAAAGAACTAAATGTCGCTTGCCAAGTAGTTTTATATATATTTTAGGAAGTCTGAAAACGCAAAATCAGGCATTTTTTTCCCCTGAGCAGTAATGAAAGACACCCGTATAAACTCAAATCAGCCCATAATAGGCTACAAGCGACTGTTGTCTTTGCTGAAAAGATTGAATTACGCATCTTTGTATAAACAAGTCCTATTAACAAGCTCCAAACTATTTTTTAAGACTGAAACTAGGCATAAACTGTTAAAAAAAAAACAAAAAACAAAAAACAAAAAAAAAAATCAACTTTCCTACAAGCATTGTTTCGATCTCAGACAAGATATTAATCTGGTTGGTGAGTTACTACGTCCAAATCCAGGTCTAGGCTAACTCTGAAAATTCAAAGACAAAATAGGCCAATGGCAAAAGGCAAAATGCCATAGAAAACTTCTCAAATAAAACACACCATTTAAAAAAAAAAAAGAAAAAGAAAAAATAGACTTCTAGAAAAGGTAGAACACACATTAAATAAGGTGGGGTGACCAAAAGGCAAATTAGGAAAGACCCAATTTAAATTACTAACTTAAAGCTTTGCGATGAGTCCATGAACCTCTTTTTGCTCAATGCACACCTCAGTTTTTAGAAACAAATGCTGGTCAACCCTTCTCAACTTAGGTAACAAACAGGGGAACAAGCCAATAAGAAGAGAAATTACAGAACTTCATATCTGAAAGTTCACACAAAATATTATTAACAGTAGTACCAGCAAAAGCCAACAGGAAGAATGGCTAGCCTGACTTCTTAGAACGAGACAAGAAAGGCGCCAATTTGGACATGCAAACTGCACATCTGAAACAGCTTACAGTATTTCCACATTCTCACAGTATGTTGTAATTCAGGGTGCTTGTGCCACACAACCTTGTAGATCTGAATAAGCAACAGCTTGCAGTAAATTCAAAACAAACTCATTTCCAAGAATAAGATGTTTTCCCACAGATAGAAGCAATAGGCTTCCAAGAGTTCTAGCATCCCATAATGCGTGACTGAAAAATTTGTAACTAACTGCCAAAATGATCACACACTAAAAGAGAGTAAAACCTCTTACATTTAAACACCAATAAAAAGCAAAATAATTTACCTTGTATTTGTTTGCAAAATCCAAAGAATATCTTCTATTTGCTTGGAATGACTGTTTCAGAATTAAAAGTTAAATGATTTTATATACATATGCATACATATATGTATGCATTTATAAAGATCTATAGTGACATTAACCATGAGCATGGTATTTATGCTAGCATACTATAGTATTTACAGTAATACAGTAATATAGTGATATACAACTAAAATGCACATAAAAATGTTTAGTTTTACTAGTCAGTTCTACAAAGCCATACAAATAGGACTGACTGAAAAGTGTATTTATATCATTAATCGGTAAGAAAATGTTTTACTTAATTACCACTGTGATTCTGGTGTGGGACTCCTAAAGGACAGTAAAACTCGCATAATTTTTCATTCATGACAATGCATAAGAGAAAGAAACGACTTTGGCTCAGCTTGCAGGACTTCTGATCAGGAAGAATGCCTTTGATGGGTAAAATGAGCATGTAGAGGAATCGGCAATCGACAACTTAACGTTTTCTTTAAGGGTAGACCAGCACTGGGAAAGCAGTAGGCAACAGCTTACAAGGAAGCACCTGAGATAATTACTCCTAAACATCCTCAGGTATTTTTCAAACCTCATTATGTGATTTAGATGGTTTAAACCTTTTAAAATAGGAAAATAATATATGTAAATACAGCACATTATCATATGAAAGGTTTAGGTTTTAGTGTTTTTTTTCAAAAGAAGGTTTTTGTTGGTATTATAAGTTTCTGTTTACTTTTTTTAAATTGAGACAGTTCATTTTGAAAATAAGCTTTAAGATTAAAAAAGTATTTTTTACATTATGGTTCACATGGCAAAAAATATGAGAATCAAACCCTCACATATTACAAATCCCAATAAAATTTCACCACTAGGATATATTTCAAACACATCCTTGCAATCGCGTTCAAAGTATTGAAGAAGTTACTGCTTCACTGCTTGTTTTTGCCATGTTCAGCAGATGAGATACATAATCATACAAAGTAGTCTTAATCCGCTTTGAGGGTAAGAAACTCAGATGCTTTAGATAACCAGAGAGGTTATTCAGGCAGATTACAAGATCTCACATGATCAGTTACAGAGACTCAGCCTCAGGAATGGTAACTGGAAGTTGAGAAAACAGTACTGCTGTAATGCGGTCCCCAAAAAGCTTCATTGCTCTTACAATACCTATTGTGAAATTATTTCAAAAACAGCTGCAAAGACGAAACAATTTCTTAGAATATTTGTCAAATGTTAAAGGGCCCCCACCCCATCCCTGCCTCACTAAATCATTAACACAGGTACACCAACAGTATATGGGCAACAGTATCCAAACCAAAGATTTCAATTCACAAGTTCAATTCCAGCATTACAGTATGTTACTCAAAAGCAAATTACAGCAAGAACAAACAGAAAACTAACCTTCCACCATAAAAAGAGGATACTACCAATATATTATGTTATGCTTGCTTTTTAGCCTTTTTTTTTTTTAAAAAAAACAAACCAACAAACAATTAAACACAATTAGGTAACTATTTTGCTGTGTGATGTCTTGAAGAGATTAAGCATCTTTGCTGCCCAACATCCACGATGAAGCTAATTTTTAAGTTCTAGCAAAAAAATGCAACTTACTCTAGGACGGAATGAGTTGCAGCCTGTGGATGGTAACGGTACAGCAGGAGGCAATGGTTTACTCGGAAGACTTCACCGCCCTTTTGGATATGTTTATAAAAAAACAACAAATCTTCTGGAACACCCTGGAAAAGAAGCAGTTATTTCAAACCAGGAAGTGACCAGTACTCATAGTTACATCTGAAGATACATTTTGTTTTTCTGCCAAATGAATAAGGTTTAACATCATTTTATTCATATTATTTCTGTATGTCTCAATGAAGTTATCTAATTGGTCATTAAACGTATCTGTAGAAAAGATAAAGCTATTAAAAAAGCAAGCAGTGCTATTTAAAAATGAAGTACAGCTGACCACAAGGACAGAGGTGGAAAAATAAACATCATCTCATTTTGACAGGGATGTAAAGCTTGGTATAGGTTAGTCCCAAAAGAGAGAAACCCAGCTGCTGAACAGTTCACGAAGCCTGAAGTGCCATGTAACCAAATAGTTTACTGAAAGGATCAGTGACTTCAGAAGAGTGTTTTTTCGTTTTACTAGAATTATTGTTCTTTCTTTGGTTGCCATACAAATACGTACTGGTGTCTACTTAGGAAAGGTGAATCATGCCCCATAATGAGAGAACTTAATAAAAACCTTAATAAAAGCAACGTCAGTACGAGGCAACGTCTGAAAACAAACTTTTTCTTTTCTTGCAACTTATCTCCATGGTATATTCTTCCTAATGGGATTGCAAGCAATACTGCTGAAACACTGGAAGAAAAAAATCTCTAGAATTGTGGATCTATCAGGCTCTGGGAAATATTAGAGATTTCATGATCATATGCAACATTTCCCACCTTAAAATCAGAAAATCTTCATACCAGAGATACAGTGTCAGAAGGGCAATCTTATGGCACATAGTATTCAATTACATGTCATAGCATACGAAAGCTTAAATCCACCTTTAAAGATACAGTCCTATAGGTAAAAAAGTAGCATCTATTTACATTTTGCAATGATGCAACTTCTTGAAATATGGCTAGAACATTTAATTTTTCTATGTTTAAATACAGATTTTTCTTTCCTCCAACCCTATGTTTAAAAGGTCGCATGATTTTATCAGGCTAAAAATCTGATACATAAAACCAGGTGGGCCAAGCAAAATATTTAAGTGTAGCATCAATAAAAAGCTGAACGATAACATGACAAAGTTGAGAAGGAAAAGTAAAAGAAGGGAAAGATATTGAAATACATTTATTTCTGTAGGCAGTATCACATATATGAATAACAGGGGCATAAACCTCAACCTCAATTTTAGGTATTCTCTTTCAATACAGAAAAAAAATGCAAGCACAAGTTAAAAAAAAAAAAAACAAAACAAACTGAATTTTTTCACCATTACCACAGCTTCTGAGTTTATTCCATAATTAAGAAAAGGAGATTCTCTAATTAAAGTGCTGGACACAAAATCCCTCTGTGGTTTCTTCTAGCCTTCTAGTTACAAGAGCAATACAGTTCAGTGACTGTTTCTCATACCCACCAGACTGAGCAGCCGAGGGGGTGTGGGGAGGGGAAGCGAAATGAGACAAAAAAAGCTTTGAACCCTGGAAAACAAATCCAAAACACTCAATTGAACATATGTATCTTGGGAGAAATCAACCAAATCAAGCTCTGTTCTTTGCAGCTCCAGACTTCACTATATGACAGATTGACATTTAAGACACTGAATTGGGCCACACTCCCAGGTTCTGAATAAAACGGATTCTGATCTGACTGCTTGCTAAGGGCAGCTTACCTGTAGCTATTGTTTGCCTTTGTAGATATTTGTCTGACTTCTAGTTTAAGAGCTGCGATGCAGAAGAAAACTTTTAGAAAACTTCATACAATTTATGCTTTATATGAACCTACTTTGAAAGCCACAAAAGAAATCCAGGGGAAGTTGGAGCAGCAGACAGCAACCACAGTCATCAAGAATATAAGAAAAACACAAACTCAAATTCTTTCCACTTATCTTGTAGCCCTTTCTATCTTTTTCTTATTCTGGACTTTAATGGAAATACTGAGAGTCAGCAGCAAAGTTTAAAGCTTTTTCTCTTTTCCAGTCACACACTAGACTCTGTCAGGCAGGGCACAAATTTTGTAGCACATATCAGCTTACTGCAGTAGTTATATTTTGATTCAGATATATGATTACATCACATACGTATCTGCAATTCATCTTCTTTTGGATAAGCATTTACATTATTCAAGATAACTGTTAATATGTATATTAAAAAAGAGAGTTACTGCAAAAGTAAAAGGATCTTTCAAAATGCTGTTTGGTTCTGAGTGCTCTTTTGCTTTACTTCAGCTGGCAGAAATACTTTGAAATAAAGTACACTCACCCCTAGGAATGAGCAGGTGCCTTGTATTGCTCAGCAGTGGCCTCTCACATTACAAAGGAGCAGCACTGCCATGCATTTTTCAGGGAAGGAAAGATGTTCACTGTGTTATAGGTCCTGCAGGGATGGGACTCCTATAGCTCTTGAGCGTGTAAGTTTGTTCAAATACAAGAGTTTCTTCCCAATTGAGACATATTATTGGATCCAGGTGGCATTTTAAACACCAGGAATCTTTGTCAAACCACAGAGCTTTCAAAGAAAAAGCTGTTTAACCACTAAAGGGATATTTTAATATATTTTTTTAAAATTAATATCCATAGCTAAAAGTAACAATTAACAATCCAGCATTTCAGCAATAGGCTACCACATAGTTTTCAGCATTAATAAACACAATTAAATTGCACAGTTTACTTGTTTACTGGACTATATACAGAATTTTCCACATTATAGGCAAAAACGCAACCCTATATGCTCTGCTGCACTAAGGGATAAACTCATTGGCCTGCCTCACTCAAGGTTGTGCTCATCAGCTGCTGATTACAACTCCTAGTGAAAAACACAGCCTGCACCTGCTCTGTTCTAGCCAGCATGCACTAGCCATGTGCAAAATCATCGTTCACTTTAACATATTACTACTGAACAGGTGAAGGATTTGTGTTTACCCAGTATTTTGGGCAGGTATCACTTGCTGTGCTGATGGTTGGCTGCACAGATAAGGGGATTGATTTTACATACACAATGGGATATCAAGCAGAACCTAACTTTAATTAAAGTAATTCCTTGTTCAGGGACCAAACTAAATATTCCACGATTCTTCTCTTGTCACCTTCTCATTGCTCACTGTTTCTCACTCCTACCAGATCACTGTGCATGAAACAGTACTCCAGCTACGCTGTCCTCAAATATATATTTGGCAAGGAGGTGCAAGCCACCAGCCACTACAGCAAGCAATTCTGGCAACAATTTTTGCAGCTCCACCATCAGTAATGGTGAGAAGCATCAGTAGGGATGAAGATACAGACCAGCAATTTTTGGAGGACTTTTAATGAAAGAGTGGCCCTCTGTGCAATGCTGTAACTAGTAACACCTGGTGAGAGATCATGTTGTAGCCCTGGGACAACCAACAGTAACTACTGCAGAACTTCAGGCTGACAGAAGTCTTTTTTTTTTGGTCACTTGGACAGAACTTACCATTAGGCTGTACAGGCATAAACACAATATAAAAGCTGCCTTTTACTGCTAAACCTAATACAGGAGATCGATTCTGCCACAGAATCAATCTGTCCCAACTTCCTCATCCATCTCTTTTCCCTCCATTCAGCCTTTGACACGTAAGCTTCCCCCGTCCTCTTCCAGCTGACAGGCACTCTGGTAAAGGTGGCAGATCCCTGTGAGCAAAACCAGTGGAGATTCAGCCTACGCAGAGCAGTCTAACTAGTGAAAATGGGAAATCTAACACCGAATGTTTTATATTTCAAGAATACATGCATTTATAACAAAAAGTGATGACAAACAAGACAAGGGAAGTAAATCTATCCACGCATGAAAAAAACCTTCAGGTTTGGGAAAGCTTAGCCCTTCCTCTTGATCGAAGGCATCACAGAAAATTGGACCATAACTTGCTACACTTTTTGGAAACCAGACAGCAACATCAGGGTAACTGTTGGACACAATAAGCCAAATTGCTTTAATTCCTCAGAGGAGCCTAAAGTTGGTGAATGGAAAGAATGAACCAAAAAAGGCAGTAACTTTTGATTCCATACTAACTGTTTCTTACAGGACTTTGGAAAGAGTTTGTTTCATTGCTATTTTTTAAACTATCTCATCTCATACTGCACTTTTTAGAACATTCATTAAAAGAGAAAAGCATTTCAGTATTAATATTACGCTAGAGTTGCATAAAAAGTGGATCAAATGGTGTTATATCACAACACCTAAGATTAAAGAGGAAAAAAAATTCTAAACTCAGAGTCATTTAGCAACAAAGCAGAGGTGTTGAGTAAAAAAATCAAAGTACTTTTTTTTTTTTTTTAAATACGTATGCCAACAGCTGCCCAACAGCATTTCCTCAAAGTCTTGAGCTAAATCTTCAACTTACAGAAATAACGCATACAGAGGGGTTGGTTGCATGGAAGTGAGCACAAAAGACACCCTATTTTAAAGGAAGTACTCCTGCCTCAGAAACAAATGCTGTTCTGCCAGGCATTAAACTCACCAAAAAATGCTGTTCAAAGTGTGCTGCTAACGGGGAACAGCTACTGAGCTGCTGGAAGCTAAAATTAAATAAGAAATTGCAGCTCTTCTCCAATTTAAATGTAAAGGTGAAAAAAATTAGGAACTAAAGTTATTTATCAAGAATTATCCATCCTTCAGTTTTTCCCTAAAGACAAGTTTTGTATTAAATGTCAGTTGTATTTTTCTTTTGTAATGAACAACTTCTCATTGAAATTACTTATTTCAAGGAGAAATTATCATTAATTGAAAATACTCTTAAGTTTAACTTCCTTTAGGATAGTCACCAGAGGTATGCAGGCAGACTAACCACAAGCTAACTCCGTACTAAATAGCTATTAATAGCTTCTCTTCAGGATTATCCAAGATATTCTTAAGTCTCTCTTTCTGCAGATTTGTCACTTCATTTTTTGGCTCCCATCCAAATCATGTCTTTACATCATTTTGCCTTGATGATAAGACCTGAAGCCTGTAACATTTACTTCGTTGTATGGGAAATAACATGTTAGAGGAAACTCCAAATTATTGCTTTCATCCAAATGTATCGGCACAGAGAAATTCAGTTAAATGAAGATGATGGAGAAGTCAGATGGAAGGGAGGTGGTAAATTCTAAATGATATTTATTAACAGACTAGCAAAAAATGTCATTAGACATGGGGTATGGGGTAAATTTTCAACTAGCTTATAAAGAGTAATTAATCATTGGCTCCACCACTTTTTCTCTCCTTTTTAGATCAAATACTGATCTCTGTTCAGCCTTAACTACACCGAGCCAAAAACATTAGTGCCTGTGTTTTATCCAGATTTTTTCCCAGAGCACCTTGATAGGTTATTTGGCAGACTGACGATATTTTAGTTCATGTTCCAAAAAACCAAACTCCTAGTTAGCCTTCTACCTTTCAGGCATTATTGTAACTACTTGCTTTTCTGGAGGGAATGACATTTGTGTGCTCTGGCAGAGAAAAATGGAAAAATGAATTAGTTAGCACCTAATAGCCTACAAAGTTATCTTAGAGCTTTGCAGCATGTGCCACAGTCTCCTATGCACCAAAGGATATTTTGACACCTCCTCAATTCGTGTTTTTTGTGACCTTTTATCACAAAAATGGATCAAAACTGAGCTCCAGACACTTTGTTCGGAGCCACAGTTTGTATTCAGAAAGGCCAGTGGCTTATAATACACTATTCCATCTGTGGCTCATTAAGAATAATTTCCCCCTGTTTACACTTTGAGATTAGTTTAGAACTTTAAGGCTGTCATTCCATTTTTAGTTTTCATACACTTAAAAAGGAAGGTTAAATACAGAAGTGACAGGAAATTTGGGAACAAGTTGTGGTAAAACTCTAGAGAAAGAAACAAGTGTGGCATACTACAGTTGTGATCTAAGAATAATACTGTTTTAATAAAGCCAAGACTCTGCAATTTGCCACATTCGCAAGGAGCGGAGTCTGCAGGTTAGCAATGTTCATTTATACAGTTCTTAATATACTCAAGATTTCTTAGAGCATTTATCTAAAACAACAAGCTAGTTGTTTTAGCTTAGTGGCATCACACACAAGTGACTAGAACAAAAGGACAATACGCTGAAAGAGACAAATAATGTGCCTTCCCAGTGATCTCCATTTGGACATTAATAGCAAACAAAATCTGTTGTCCACCTGAAGAATACATTTTGGTAGAAGTACACAAGGTCAGTCGGCTACAATTGCAAAATGTTGGGTTTGTATGCAAATTCAAGTGCACTGTCAAACATATGAAGCAATAACTTTGCTTAGCTAATTACAGATACGACAACTACCACTGCGCATGACTTTATAAGTTCCCTACTTTAACACGACATAGCTTCGAAATCTGCTTTTCATATTATACAAGACGATGTACATTTTTTCCTCTTGACCAGAAAGAAGTATTTATTTCTAAAAACATTTTGTAAATATTTTTTAAAAATCTGTTTCACATAAAACCTGGATGGACGGAGAGATACATGCATACATGCATACCTACCTGTAATTAAAAAAAAAAAGATTACATCATAACATATTTTTGTATTCTATCAGTCCACCCATACTATTAACATAAACATCAAATCACAATTTCTTCCATGGAAGAATTATCTTCCATTTGTTCTAAGCACTGAAAGATGAAGAACAGGTGTTTGGATTTAATTCCAAATGAGAAATGCAGCTTTTTGGCATGGAAACAGTTTAGCAAATGGAGAAGGCTGGAATGTTGAGATTTGTTGACCTGTTTCTGTGTTTACTTGCAGCGATATGACACTTACAGGTCGCACTGTAAAATACTAACCCAAAAATGGAGATGGAAGTGATCAAATTAAGATAGTCAGATCATGGGTCAAGTCAAAACATACACACATGGATAAGATCCTTAAGAGTACTCAGTACTAGTTTATAACAGCTCTATCGATACACAGAGAAAATCTTTCTTTGCCTCAAAGGAATTTTTTTCAAATGAAAATGAGTGAGTTAGATCAATGCTAAATACTTTACAGTGCTAAATGCTAAAAGATTTAGGACTTGATTTTGTGTCCTCTAAACCTACATAGGACAAAGGTTTGACTTTGTTGCTTATGTTCATTGATTTGTTCAGATCTGTCGTCACCCTTATTCGTAGGGTATTTTTTTGAAGGTCCTCTGTATCAGCCAGAGTTTGAGTTTTGACATGTTGGACACTTCACAATCGGGACAAACAAAAAGTTTAACTTATCAGTGATAATTTTTAAAACTAGAAGGACATATCATGCATTGTGGCTGAAAAATCATTAGGATTAAGACTGTCAGCGTATTACATCTGAATAACCAGCGGCATAGTCCCTACACAATTACATATATAAAGCAAAACAAAACAAAACAAAAAAACCAAAAAAAGAACAAAGAGAAAAAAAAAATCAAAACTAAAATTAAAAAGCATAGAACAATGGTCTGTTTAACTTAACCTCTTGAACTTTATCATTAGGCTTGATGTTCTATTGTTGTGATTATGTTTCAGCTTGCTTGCTTGCTTTTTTGAGCTTGCTAACAATGGTCAAGAAGTTAAATCAGACATTCTTCAGAGAATGAAAATACAATGATAAGGAATAATAATAAAAAAGAAATAAAGAGCATGGGTCAGCGAATGTAGATTGTATTGGGTGCCAGGCACCATTCCCAGCTCTTCCACTCACCCGCCATGTAATTAAGGGCAAATCTTTTCACCACTCTAAACAATTCTGTTCTCTGTCTGCCATCTCCTTAAATTATAATTTTGTTGGCAGCTCGAAGAATAATATTTGTATATCCTCATACATACATATACATGTTTGTGTATGTCTATATGTATATATACACACTGTATGGCACAGGAGGGCTCCATTTAGAGGCTATAAAAAGAATAAGAATCATAGTATGTTGTAATTTAAATAATAAAATAGGAAATAGTCTTAGCAGATTTTTTTAGAGTCCTATTAAATGAAGGCTTTCGAAAAAAAATTCACCCATTCTAGCCCTAAAATCTCACCGAAACCACTGGAAGCAAAACCCCTCAGGTCCAAAATCCACCGAATGGATCCAAATGTGTCTGAATTAGATCTATTTGCCAACATATTTCTACTCCTACCACAATAAATACTGCCAATAGACATCCCTGGATTTTATTCCATAAACATGCTGATGAGCCTAATGCAACCAAATTGAACTTGTACAGGAAATCTATAAAGAAAAAGAACACCTAACTGTCAGTGGAGGAACACTTCTCAGGTAACAGTCATTTTATTTGTAACCTCTCAGTCCTGATCCTTGAGGAAAAGCTACTTAATATGTTCCAAGGACAAGCCTGAGAACTAAGACTGACAAGTGGATATGAGACACGTGGATAAATGAGATTTAATGATAGTAGTTTTATGGCACATTGTGACCTCCTCTCCTCCCTTCTTTCTTCATCTTAGGGATAGAAATCTTTCCCCTTAGGTGAATGTATTACCATCTCTTTGCCATCCTGCACCTTTCTTCCTTCCAATCTCACCAAATGTACCTTACCTTTCAGAGAGGTTCACAATGAAACTATTAGCTGACTTTGGTTTAGCTTTCAGATCTGCTGCATCTATTTCAGGGACTGAAGAGGAGCTTGAATGTCTGAACCCTTCTTTAATTCTTCCTTCTTTAATTTTTATGCTGACATACCTAACTAATGTGTTAGACTTATCTACAACCCCCAAAACAGCTGTACTTGGTTAACAACTGTTTTTTAAAAAAAGCAGGTATATGGAATGACCCAGATTTTTTTAGACCTCATTTTTTATCTATACCCCTTTGCCTAGTGTTTCTTAATAACAGGTTTTGGGCTTTTCAAAGGCTGTTAGACAAAGAGATGGTTCCTGGACTACATATCAGCCGTAGCACTCACCTTTCCACCCTCATCAAATTTTCCCACGTGAAAAAACCATTCTCGAGAACAGAACCAGGTTGGCATGATCACAGTAGGTCCATGGGAGGTAAATACCTAGGAAAAAGGTGAAGAAAGCCAGTCTTAATAGAATGTCAAAACCAGCATCTGTTGGGGAACAAAGTAGACCTTACGCATTCACCTGAAATCCTGCAAATACTCATGCTATACATGCTATACTTAAACTCAGCAATTTTAAGCACTGAGAAATGTAAGTTCTTAAAATTTATCATGTGCCTAGTGTTTAAAATGCCGTGTATACCAGCACCATTGAGGTGTCACAGCCCAACAGATGAATCTGCTTCCTGCTTCATATTCCATACGAATTCCAATAATTCATAACCTTCTCTTCTATCATAAGCTGCAACACATGCAGAGTACTTCAAACTTTATTTCAAATTTAGAGAGGTATACTGGAAATGACGCTTCTATTAATAATGGCGATGTTGATATTGAAGTGAATGAATTGAGAAGAATCTTAAAAAGTTGAAGTTCTTCAACTTAACCCTACAATTGTTGTGCATTGATTTTCCATTTTATATTCCTTATACATGTATTAAGGAGGAACTTTCATTGATCGTTTATTTCTGCCAAAGACACTTAAATCTTAATCAAGCGTGGACAAGTAAGATGCAATTTATTTTAAACATTACCAGAGCACTATGGATTTGCTACCCAGTGGTACCTACCTTAAAAGGTTGTTGGAAAGAAAATGCTTTAGGGACTGAAAAGGGAGTGGCTATTAATTTCATCCTCCTGACTAGTGACAGCCAAGAACTATACAAATGGTTCTTTGCAGCTTTAAACAAACTTCTTGTAAACACAACCATGAAATAAACCAGAATCTGGATTATGGAAGGTAAACTGGTTTTTTCTTTTATTACAAGATGAAGTATCTAGCCAAACAAGAGACTGAACTTGTCAAACAGAATGTGCAAAGTTAAGACAGGAGACTGTGCCTGCTTCCAAGAACTACACAGGAAATAAAGAGCACAGCCTGGTTTACAAAGGCAGAAGAAAGAAACCTCACAATTACTGCCAGTCTTCAAACACTAATGAAAATGCTGATCTTATGAGCAGATGATTTCATAGCATGCTATAGTGGTAATATTAATATTCCTGTATCGTTGAAATTTTTAAACATCAGTGCATGAATGTAAATTTTATCACGTGCATCTAAGCATTTACAATTTAAAGGTGTTCCTCTTCATTTCAACTTGGGATGGAGCTCCTTAAACTGTTCTTATGTCTGGCAACTTCAATTTCCACAGATAAACATGGATTTAAAGTGCAAATTTTACACACTCAGTTCTATACAGACACTTAGACCAACTCTACAAGCAAATTAGATTAGAAATCTAATCAAAATTCAACATGTGATCTACTCCCACTTTTCTTATGGCATGAATCATCTGACCAAACACAGGCATCCACTTTAGGGTGAAACACACTGCATGCTAAATCCAGGAACATAATGACGAACTTCACTGTCTGTAAAGGGGTCCTAGGGTGACTCATCTCGATATAGACACTTAAATTTTAGGCAGTCGTATTTAGTCAGAATAATCCTATCACTTAATGGCTATGACTTAACACATTAGCAGCTTGTTCACAACCGAAATACGCTAGCTTCAGAGGTGCTAAATGTCAAAAACTCCCCCAAAAAGTCAGTGGGAGCTGAAAGAGTCAAAACAATCCAAGAAAACCAGAGCAGACATGATTAGTCAGTACATAATTATTAGCTCCACACTAATTACAAGGGCAATTGAGTATGGCCTGAACCAAACAATGACCAAACAGTAATCCCAAAAGAAAACAACAATAGGGAGAAAAGCTAGACTAGAATGCACTGCATTGAATCTCATTTCTGAATGAAAGAAAATCTTCAAAAGAAAGCCTTGAGCCTATTGGAATACGTGAAATGGGTTTGGAGAGGCTATAATACCATTTCCTCAGCACAGCCAGGTTCATCAGAGAACATAAATGAACTTAATCTTAAAGACATAGCTCACTGTAATTAGTCATGCTCACGTGCGAAGAGCATACATCCCAAATATCTTAGATAATCCGTGTTCCATTGATGTATATACTTAAGTGAAACCAAATAGAACAAACTTGAAACATTGAGAAAAGAAAAAAAACATCAAAATGTCACTTCTGTTAACACAGATGATGATATGATAATGATTATATAGTAGACCACCACACACTGCATACACTGATGTCTTTCCTAAATCAAACAGTGCTCTATGGCTCACTGTCCATCTCGGAAAAGATGCTAGAGGGGAATCACACAGACGAAACTGGGACTGATGATGAGGTGGCTGGATTGCCACAAATGATTTCAGGGTCTTATCCTTCAAGAAAGTCTTTGAACCTAGAACAGTACACCAGTTAAGAGTCAATGAATTGGTAAAAAAGCTTTTTCTATATGAATATTTATAATCCGACATCAAAACAAACTTCAGGAAATTTCAATTTGTGCTTCTGACACAATGGACAAATCCATGCTACCTTGTACCTTGCTATGCTACCAATAACACTTGTGAAGCTGAAATTCTTTTTTTTTTTTGTTAGCTTAGTTTTCAGCTGGATCTGTTCCCTGATCCAACCAACCACGAAAACACTAGTATTACCACAAAGGAGGATGTAGGAAAACAGGGCACCAAACACAGTGAGGACAGCAAGACCATTCTTTTCAGCAGCAGTATAGATAACCCATAAATAATCTTTAACCTGATGGGGGGAACTGTATGCTCAAAGTCTAGATTTACAGTACGTCTATATTAATTTAAGAGGTCTCCCACTCCTCCTGCCTCTGGCTATGCATCCCAGTCACTTATAACAGCATTGCACTCACCTGACCCCATGGTTAGCTAGATCAGAGCACTACATCAGTAAGAAAGCTATTATTTTCTTCTTTTTTTAGTGTTTGTTTTCTATAGCCTTAGTTCTCTGAATGGGTTCACTGTGGGGTCAGACTAGCAATACTGCTGACATACTGGAGGGGGAATGAACAAGCTTTGGAGAAGAAAACAAGACCTCCCTTTTTGGTCATTGCCCACAGTTAATCAGTCCAGCTGTAATATAAAACTGCACCCTCTGTCTGAATACTTACAGTGATGGGAGGAGAACTGGCTCAGGAAAAACACTAAACTCCTAAAAACAACTGTGTTGAAACAGTGCAGCATCTGCCAAACTTTTGAAAGCTACCTTCAAGAGCCTTTGAAATTTCATCTTCAAGACAAAAAAAAAAACCTAACCTCAACCTTCTGCAGTTTGGAAATTCTAGATTTCAGCTTGGTTTAGTCAGATGGGAAAGTCTCCTCTGGATTTCTTTTTTGCCTACACTTGTCATACACACTTGCCAAGGTGTTAAAAAATGGTTGAATTGGCTGACTCTGGGATAAAAATTGCAACTTCTCACTTTGTGAGATTGCCACTCAAGATTTTATCCATAAATCTTTTAGATTCCGTGGACTGGAACAAGAGAAGCAAAAAGCACACACTAGCCTTAATCTGAAAATTAATCAAAAGCAGAATTTGAATTATGATGCCGCTCGCAACTGCTATGTTTAGTTTTCTGGCAAACGTTCTCCAGCTCTGCCCAACAAACGTCCTGTGTTTCACCTTGGAACCTCAGTGGGTTTTCCGTCCTCCTCGAGGAGTTAATTCAGTATATTGGAAAGCAGTTTGGACCTGTGAACCTTCCACACACAGCTGTATTAGAAGAATAATGCTTAACAGTAGTTGTCGTTAATTACAGTACACTGTATGCTGTAAAGATTACCTAAATATAATTTAGTTGAATGAAACCAATTTGTTAAAAAACTAACTACAGAGCTTGTAGATGAATAAATGGTATAGATGGTATAAATCTGCTCAGATTTAGAATCCCTGAAGAACACAGTGTTGTCATAAACAAACTGGAATCCATTGTCATCAGTTTCCAGGTGATGGAGACAGGCTGCTATTTCAGCACCGTATTTGTTAAATTATTTAGAACTTTTATTGTTATCTGGTTTTATTCCAAGGATCAAGTAGCAAGTAATTGAAACTGATTTACTCTGGTTTGTTCTTGCTAACTGGCTATCGAATTACATTCAACTATTACAGAGATTCTCTGAAAATAAATCTGAAGAATATAGAGAGTTGATAATGTGACTTTCATTTGTTGTGTTTCAAAGCTGTCAACAGCACATGTAATTCTGGTCCTCACTGATGCTCACTTCAGATCATCTCAGCATTCAATACAAAATTTAAGTTCCAATACTGAGAAAAGCATTCATGTATTTATAGTAACTCTTCAAGGAAAGTTCTATTTCCTGAATCAGCAAATCAAAATCTAACAGCAATGTGCCAAAAGAATACATGCAGATGGTGAAATAACCTTATCACATTATGTCATGCAGAATACAGAGAGGAAACCAGGCAGTTCACAAGAGCAACATATTTAATCAAGGGCCCAGACTGCTTTCCAATGTAACAAGCTAATTCCCCAAAATACACTACACATTTAATTCTACTTATGCTATAGCATTTATGAAAATTATATCCACACAGATCAAGGATTAGAATCAATCTCTTATGTGATGATAAATAAAGCTTTCCAATACCCAGGGTCATACATTAACACGTTAGAAGGTGAAAGAAAACAACAACAAAAAAAAACATGGCGGAGGGCCATGATGTTTTTGTGAACTGTAGGCAGACCATAGGCCAAAGGACATCACTCCTGACTTAGAAAAAATTATGTGTTAACATACCAGTGCATCAATTCAGCAGTGAATGTACCAGGATCTCATTACTGAAGATTACCAAGTTTACATCCAGAATCAGATGTGTGTATTAGTGTGACAGAAAAGGTACGGAAGGTAGGGAAAAGAAGAAAAGACTCCTTATCCTACTTCAAAAAAGTATTAGGCAAATAAGATTTAAAAAAAAAAAACAAAAACGAAAAAAAATTACAAAAAACTTTACTAAGCTTTAAGGAACTTAAACACCCAATCTGGTATGGATTACATTCAGTTAGTTTACATTGTACTGAACTATTTAACCCTTTCCTATGCCTATATAAATAATTGCCTGTATCACCTAATCATTGCATGCTTCAACATTAGCTGAAAATCCCTGCTCTGAAGAAGCCGGGATCTGGCACAACAAAAAGTACATTTCAGAAATAAAACATGCCATGACTCTCCATACTGAAAGGTTGATATATACATAGTAATTTTGGTACAGGCTTGACTAAAAATCAGCATTACTTAACCTTCACAATCCCAAACTTTACTTAGCAACAAAACTAATCAAAAAGAATTTAAGAGTCCTGAGAATTGCTAATGCCAGTGAAAGCAGAGAGCATTCAGCACCTCCAAGAAGGTATTCCAGTCCTGATTCTGGAAAAATTATGACCTACAGCTCCACATGATTTCCTCAGGATTTGAAGCCTTAATGAAGGCTGAAATGTTTCACAGTTTGCAGGAAACAGAGAGCATCAGAGCAGCTGTAAGATGATGCTTTCTCAGTTGCTGTATCTGTTTTTCTATCTAGTGTTTCCTACCACTGTTTGAAGGAACCTGTATTGTTTATTTTCTGTAACAACTAACTAGATTATACAGCTAGTTCCCTTTTCAGTATATAGCTGGAGAGTAGGTGTACTGCACCGCAGAGATGTTCTCTTACACCTCTGAGTAGAATCCCGTCCAACATTTCAAAACTTAATTGAGATTCAAATTAAGATACTAATAAAAAAAAGGGTTTTATATAAAAAAGTTAAGGGATATCTCTCTCTTTTTGGTCAATCTTCCACACAAATACAGTCCAATGATCAAATCTGTACAAACTGTAGTAATAATAATAATTTATGTTTGATACTTTTACCTATACAGCCACTGTATGATTGACAGTTAACTTTTTTGAAATATATGTAAAAAGTCTTAAGTCTATTCAAAGGTGCAGCCAGTCAATAGCATAGTATAGAATACCTTCGTAACAAAGTATTACATGATTTATGGAGTGCCAGAATATACATAAATATTAAAAAAATAATAATTCTGCATTCAAAGTTATTAGAATCTTAGTTATATAGGCTAAATAATAACACTTGAAAGTGTTCACTTTCATACATAGGCTGTTTTCCTGAAAACCCAGAAGGTTAACCAAGACATAAATGTTATTACATGAAAAGCTGATGTTTGCTTTTTGCTTTATCTTTTTACGCAGATCGAAAAGAAAAAATGTTCATTAAAACATTTACAGTATATTTTAATACTTTCTAAAGCATACCTAAATCTTGAGGGACATAATGCATGAATCCCTCATACAAATCCCTGCTCCCCACTTCCCTACATCCCAACACTTCCAGTTCTCATGATGTAAGCAGAAGACAGTAATGGGAGGAAAGCTGGGAGAGCAGTAGTGCCCAGAGAAAAAAGTTGGATTTGTTTGAACTGCTGTAATGAACTCCCTTGTCCCTCACAGTTTATTACATTCTTAGTGCTTTTCACCAGGCCATTCACTTTAAGAAAAACATGATAGTCCTTTTTATAGCTGTTTGATCACTACACCAAACCATAAAATTCTATACAAACAGTAGTCCCTATCTTATAAAAAATTTTAATATCAAGTCTCTACACTGTTGGATGTGAAACCACCATCTGAAATGAGTAAGAGGGTGTGTATTAACATGGCATCACCTCCTCCTGACATGTCTGGCTACAACAGAGCACCACAAAGAATGAAATGCAGGGTAAAGACTTACCATATCAGGCTGCACTCTATCTAGCTCTTTTTTTTTCTTTTTTAATCTGCTGCTGAAAGGAAATCTGTTTACAAATTTTCCAAAGGTAAATATATTAACTTTAGGTTTATAGTCTAATACATATGTATTGAATTAGCTGTGGTTTTGCTTTATGCGAGCTAGCCCATGCCAGCCTTATTGTGCTGGATAATTGAGAGCTTACTATACTGCTGAATATCTCTTTTTTTGTAGTTGAATGCTCCTAGTAAAACCCAGTAGCAAGCGCCATTCTTCTAGTCTTTTTCAGAGCTTTCATCTACTAATGACGATGAATTAACCTACTGCTGAAACCAAAAGAATAGATGCATGCAAATGGAATAGCCTGTATGATTTTAGCATGTCTTACATCTTTTTTTCTTGTCTGTAAGCTGCTAAAAGTGGTCTTTGTAACATCCATGCCTTAACAAGTCTCTCTAATTCTTGGAGAGTTTCCAGTATTTAAAGAGTCAAGTATTTACAATAGAAGAATTACTCCATCCAGTAATACGAAGCATTCTCCACCAAGAGGTTGTCTACTTGGCTTGCTGTTTATGCTGAGCTTTTACCACAAAAGAAAGAAAACAATATGCTTAAAGTCTTATTAGCAAATACTAAATTGTGGTTAGAACAAACAAGAAATCTGCTGGGAAGCAACACTGACCAGAGCTCATGTAGTAAGTCTTAAAAATGATGTTTCCATTTGACTTTTGGACATGTCCTTTAGTATTTTCGCAAGATGAAGACTGAATAGGTCTTTCAGATTTTGAGACTGTACCCAAATGAAGGTAACATAACTGAAATATTCTAAGTTATTACAACAAAATATATATTTACACAGCGATTTTCATTTCAAAGATCTATGAAAAACAAAAGATGACTTCAATGTCCTTTTTGCAATGATAGGACAATTCTACTCTTATAGAGAGTTATCAAATCTGTAGTGTTCAGAAGATTATTTGAAAGTAAGTATTATTAATTTTCTGCCTATAAAAACATCAGCTATGTTTGTAACTTATTAAATAATATTTAACAGATAACAACATATACAGCATGAAGATAATCATGCTAGCCCTGCAATGGTCTGGAAAATCC